GCCCCCCCCCCCCCCCCCCTCGAGGGGTCTCTCCAGCCACACTCCCTCCTCCCTAAGTAGCCTATCGTGGCACTGCAGACGCTCTGGAGGGCAGGGGAGGAGCTGCTGAGTTCGGGGCCCTGGCTTCTCCCCACAAATGCTCTAGCCTGGGAGTGCCCCGGGGATGCTGGGCCCCAGATGGTGCCGGACGAGGTCCAACCAGGCCTCCGCGCTGCAAGGCAAGTTCGGTGTTTACCTTCCAGCTCCCGCGCTGTGTAATTCTACGGCAAAGTGACCCCGTGCGTGCGCGCTGTGACGTGCGCAGGGCCAGGCCGTGCCAAGTGAGCTGGAACGTGGGGGGTCGCGAGACAGACTCCGCAAGGGGAGACAGCTCTCTAGCAGGGTCGAGAGCCTCTTCTGCTCCCTCCGCTGCTGGGGAGAGCAGGCCCCACCTGTCAGCAGCTCCTGAGCACGTCCCCTTCAGAGGGACTCCATGTCCTCTGCCTCACTCCTCGTTGTGGGGCAGGGACCTCTAGCTCAGCAACAGGCCGGTGCGGACGGACAGGTCTCCCAATGGGCACAGTGCACAGGAGGGGGGGGGGGAGGAAAGTCTTACCCCTTGGAAGAAGGTAAACATGATGTTCCTGGGCAGCGTCAGAGCATCTGGCACTTTATGGAGAGCTTCGGCAGCCGCCAAGTGGGCCACGAAAGAGGAGACGGCACTCTCCGCCCCGGGGGCTACGTTCCAGAAGAAAGAATGGCTGTCGATCTGCAAGCGCAAGCAGGAGGCGTGACACTTGTGCGACATGGAGAGAACGAATCCAGAGGCTCTGGCGCACTGAAGAACGAGCAAACCCGACTGGGCAAGACCACGGCAGAACCCTCACCCCCAAACTCAATCCACCTGCGAGCCACGGAACAAGCCTGCTCTGCTATGAATCTGAACATACTGCTCCCAGACCTACAGCGGTCCTGCGGCTCTCCCCCAGCTCTGCCATGTGTCTCAACCCCGCCTGCAGCGCATGCTTGTCCCGGCCTGGCTCTCAAGCCAGCAGTGCGCACAGCCGGAGGTGTACTGATGGGTCAACTGGGGCACACTAGGGGCTAGAATGTGGCCATTAAACTTGATAGCCCCACTCGTTCCACTCTGTCATCTGTAGGGGTGGCAAACTAGGGAATGTACCAACTTTCGGGTGGCCCAGGGGATGAGTCACCAGGCTGGGAACAAGGAGACTTAAGTGCTAGTCTCAACTCTGACACTGACTCATGGTGAAGCCCTGGTCAAGTTACCTGTGTGACTCAGTCCTACTCACCTCCCTGGGTAAAATTAGGCTCGTTCACCTTGGTAAAATGCTTTGAGGTCCATGGCTAAAACCCCCACAGAAGAGCCAGGATTCATTAATGTGACCTCATTTACTTATGAAGATCCATGTAACAATATTCCTTCTTTAAAGAACCTGCTAGACCAGAGCGGATTTGTTTTGGGACGCCACAGTAACCTGATGGTGATCTGAGGGTATAACTGCCTTGGAGGGGAACCCTGGGTCACAAAGGGCTCTTCACCTAACAGCAAAAGGCAGAAAGAGATCCCACAGCCAGACAAACTCCTAGTCGAGATGTTTAACAGCGAGGACACTGGCGCACACTCCCCAGGGAAGCGGTGGCGTCTCCATCTCTCGAAAGCCAGACCCAGGCTGCTTGCCGTTCTGGAAGGTATGCTTTAGCCAAAGAAGTTATGGGCCCCGAGACAGGGGAAGCGGGTGAAGTGTCATGCCCTGTATTACACAGGACACCAAGTACACAGACCGGTGGGTCTGTCGGCCTCAGGCTCTATCGATCTAGGAGCAGAAGGCCTGCAGTGCACGAGACCCCAGTATCTCAAAGCATCTTAGAAGCCATTCAGCCTACACGGTACGATGTGTGAGAGGGAGGCACGTGTATCCCCACGTGAGTGGCTTGCCCTGGAGCACACAGCAAGTCAGAGGCAGATCCAGAAATCAAACCCAGCAGCACCGATGTTCCCAGCTGCCACAATCACCACTGGCCCCTACTACAGGATAATGCAGTGGTCTCCAACCGTTTTACACCGAAGATCGCTTTTTAAATCTCAGAACAGGCGAAGATCTACCGCCCCGCCCCTTCCTTGAAGCCCCGCCCTCTCTATTCTCCTCCTGTACATCACTTGCTATCCCCAGCCCTTACTTACTCACTCGGATAAAGAGTTTGCTTTTAAATTATGCGCTATATAAAATTAAAATCACGTGTTTATAGTGATGAAATAAATGGTCTGGTTTTTATTCACGCTATTTAAATCTAAAATGAAGCATTTATAATTATACCTTTTGTGGGGACAGAGTTCTGCAGCTGGGGGCAGGGGAGAGGGGACAGGGTGCTGGGAGGGCAGAGGACAGGGTTCTGCAGCTGGGGGCAGGGGAGAGGGAACAGGGTGCTGGGAGGGCAGAGGACAGGGTTCTGCAGCTGGGGGCAGGGGAGAGGGAACAGGGTGCTGGGAGGGCAGAGGACAGGGTTCTGCAGCTGGGGGCAGGGGAGAGGGAACAGGGTGCTGGGAGGGCAGAGGACAGGGTTCTGCAGCTGGGGGCAGGGGAGAGGGAACAGGGTGCTGGGAGGGCAGAGGACAGGGTTCTGCAGCTGGGGGCAGGGGAGAGGGAACAGGGTGCTGGGAGGGCAGAGGACAGGGTTCTGCAGCTGGGGGCAGGGGAGAGGGAACAGGGTGCTGGGAGGGCAGAGGACAGGGTTCTGCAGCTGGGGGCAGGGGAGAGGGAACAGGGTGCTGGGAGGGCAGAGGACAGGGTTCTGCAGCTGGGGGCAGGGGAGAGGGAACAGGGTGCTGGGAGGGCAGAGGACAGGGTTCTGCAGCTGGGGGCAGGGGAGAGGGAACAGGGTGCTGGGAGGGCAGAGGACAGGGTTCTGCAGCTGGGGGCAGGGGAGAGGGAACAGGGTGCTGGGAGGGCAGAGGACAGGGTTCTGCAGCTGGGGGCAGGGGAGAGGGAACAGGGTGCTGGGAGGGCAGAGGACAGGGTTCTGCAGCTGGGGGCAGGGGAGAGGGAACAGGATGCCAGGAGGGCAGGGGACAGTGTTCTGCAGCAGGAGGCAGGGCACAGGGTGCCAGTGGGGACAGGGTTCTGTGGCAGGGGACAGGGTGCCAAGAGGGCAGGGGACAGGGTTCTACAACAGTGGACAGAGTGTCAGTGGGGGAAAGGGGACAGGGTGCTGGGCAGGGGAGGGGGGCCAGGGTAGAGGTAGGGAGTGGGGGTTCTGGGGGGTGGGGGAAAAATGGGGGGGGGGGGTGCCCAAAAGCCTCGCGATCGACTGGTCGAGGCCTCACAATCGACCAGTTGATCGCAATCCACGGGTTGGTGGCCACGGGGATAATGCCAGCCACGGCTAGTCAGCCAGGGGACCTGGGTTACAGGCAGGAGGACCACAGGAAGGACAGGCATGACCACCTACTCGAGTAGCAACAATGACGACTTCATCCGCAGGGTCCATTTTCCTGGAGGCGTTGATGGGTTTCAGGGTGCTCCACACATTAGAATCAGACAGGGGGTCGCAGACAACTTCTAGGAAGCAGAAACATTACGGCTCAAGAGCAGGAACTCTGGCAGTACCAAAGAACAAGGAACTGAAGCTATTCTTTGGCCAGCTACAGCACTAAGCCCCCTTTCGGTGATCCTGGGAGAAACCCTGGCCTCTCTGACACCAACGACATCAGTCCCAGGGGCGTCACTTTGACCCCAGGTGTTCACTGCTCCCCTGCCGCTTTGTCTGGTCACCGCACAGCCCCAAACAGCTGCGTTCGAGCAGGGCACTTTGCAGGCAGGACGCCCCTTCTCCCCCACCTGCCTGCCTCAGGGACGTTCTATGGCCCTCTGGCCTCCAGGGCTCTCGTTGCTTTAACTGTAAACAGTTCACACTGAAAAGGCTGAGGGGGAAGCTGGTGTCACAAAGGCGTCTGATGCAGGCAAAGCACGGCACATTGCTCTTGTGTTTTGCACACTGGAGTCTCAACGGGCTGGCAGGGTCTTGGGCTTCGCACTGGGACGGAGGCCAGCCCATCGCTCCAAACCCACAGCCAAGAAGGGATTCCCAACCATTCATTAAAGACAGAACCGCTTTCCTCAAGCCCGGGCCAAGCGGGCAGTTTGCTAGGGCCAGATGCAGCCACCCTCGCCTTTAGCTCGGAAGCGTCATCTGTGCGACCACTGGTCCCGGCAGGCAGGGCTTTGGCTTGGATGTGGCCTTCATCATAGCACCCGCTGGGACCACAGATCCCCCTCCAGGCGACAGGTCAGAGCGGCCCTGGGCTGGGCTGGGCTGGGTCAGCTATTAACAGCCCCACCAGTTCTCCCGCCCCCTGCTAGGACAGCACCCACCTGAGCTGGGCGGTGTCAGCTATTAACGGCCCCACCAGTTCTCCCACCCCCGGCTAGGACAGCACCCACCTGGGCTGGGCGGTGTCAGCTATTAACGGCCCCACCAGTTCTCCCGCCCCCTGCTAGGACAGCACCCACCTGAGCTGGGCGGTGTCAGCTATTAACGGCCCCACCAGTTCTCCCGCCCCCTGCTAGGACAGCACCCACCTGAGCTGGGCGGTGTCAGCTATTAACGGCCCCACCAGTTCTCCCGCCCCCTGCTAGGACAGCACCCACCTGAGCTGGGCGGTGTCAGCTATTAACGGCCCCACCAGTTCTCCCGCCCCCTGCTAGGACAGCACCCACCTGAGCTGGGCGGTGTCAGCTATTAACGGCCCCACCAGTTCTCCCGCCCCCTGCTAGGACAGCACCCACCTGAGCTGGGCGGTGTCAGCTATTAACGGCCCCACCAGTTCTCCCGCCCCCTGCTAGGACAGCACCCACCTGAGCTGGGCGGTGTCAGCTATTAACGGCCCCACCAGTTCTCCCGCCCCCTGCTAGGACAGCACCCACCTGAGCTGGGCGGTGTCAGCTATTAACGGCCCCACCAGTTCTCCCGCCCCCTGCTAGGACAGCACCCACCTGAGCTGGGCGGTGTCAGCTATTAACGGCCCCACCAGTTCTCCCGCCCCCTGCTAGGACAGCACCCACCTGAGCTGGGCGGTGTCAGCTATTAACGGCCCCACCAGTTCTCCCGCCCCCTGCTAGGACAGCACCCACCTGAGCTGGGCGGTGTCAGCTATTAACGGCCCCACCAGTTCTCCCGCCCCCTGCTAGGACAGCACCCACCTGAGCTGGGCGGTGTCAGCTATTAACGGCCCCACCAGTTCTCCCGCCCCCTGCTAGGACAGCACCCACCTGAGCTGGGCGGTGTCAGCTATTAACGGCCCCACCAGTTCTCCCACCCCCGGCTAGGACAGCACCCACCTGGGCTGGGCGGTGTCAGCTATTAACGGCCCCACCAGTTCTCCCACCCCCGGCTAGGACAGCACCCACCTGGGCTGGGCGGTGTCAGCTATTAACAGCCCCACCAGTTCTCCCGCCCCCTGCTAGGACAGCACTCACCTGGGCTGAGGCTGAAGGTGCTCTGGATGGAATTGCGTCTCATACAGGTCACCGTGTTGGTGACGGCGTGCATGTGGGCAAACAGCTGCATGGCACACAAAGGGTACTCCGGGCCCGAGCCGTTCCGAGGGAGATTATGGTCTTGGTAGCACTGAGACAAACAGAAATCAACACCTTGCTCTTTAGAACAGTGCGGGAGAGACAGGGCTGGGACTTAGGAGACCTGGGTTTAGTCCCAGTCCCGCTACTGACTCACGGTGTGACCTCAGGCAAGTCATTTCACTTCCCCTACTTATCCTTTCCTCTCCTCCCACTCTTTATCTTGTCCATCTGGACTGCAAGCACCTGCTCCCACTGCATGTACAATGCCAATGCCCTGGTGTGCCACCCTCAGAAAATAATACAGGCAGAGACCTAGGTCTCTCCAGGTTAGAGTCTTCCCTTTCATAGCACCTTCCACCTGAAGATCTCAAAGCACTTCCCACAGGTGGGTGCATGCCAGACCCACCCCCCTTTCAGATGGGTATGAGGCACGGCATAGATTATTTACCCCATCTGCCCTCTCAGGTGAAGACTTTTCACCTGCTCCAGACATTACTCTTACGTGCAAAGAATCTGCCTGTTTCCCCAAACCGCCTCCAAAAGGTTACTCAGCCAGGAAGCTGGCACCTCAGATCAGCGTACGCTAGCGTGGAAGAACACGGTTCCCAACCCAAGGGGCACAGCCAGGCTCCCCTCTGCAGGTGCTAAGGCACGGTACCTGCTTAATAACTTGAGTCTCATTGGCATCTTCAAGCAGAAAGATGGGGAAATGGAAATCCTCGTAAGAAAGCCCATTCCCGAGAGGGTTCCACACAGTCCAGTTGCAGTGAGCGTACTGAGGGCCGTAATCACTGTCATAGACACCTGCGAGACATGGGCGGATCCAGTCACTGGGGAAGAGCAGAGACCGGGAAAGGCAAGGCCTGCTGAGCAAGCGGCAGCAGGCACAGAGAGAGCCACTGCAGGCTAAGAACCCAGCTGAGAAACAGAGCGCGCTGGAGTCCGTGGCCGCAGGAGAGACAGAGCGCTGCCAGGTGAAGAGAATGAGCGACAGCCATCCCGTGCCAAGAGGCTGGCAGGAGCACATACTGAGAGAACGCAAGGTGCACAGAGAACACTGCACTTTGAAAGAGACGCATCGTTTCCTGAGCGCCTCGTGCGCTGGAAGCACCCCAAAGTATTCAATAAGCGCCAGTCACTGCAGCACCGACGTGCTGTGCGAACAGCATGAAGGTGAGGGGATGATGAACGCCAACGTACCAAACTAACTGTGTGTTCATACGAGGGATGTGACTGTAGAAACATGTGAACAGTTCATCGATAAGCCTGGCCTATCAGTTAACATTCGCGGTTACACACAGGCTCCTGCCCTGCTCCTGTATCAGAGGTAGCAGCGCAGGGTGGCAGGCAGGAGTCAGTATGCACAGGGAGCCGGCTTAAAAGCCAGCCCCCTATGTGTACCGACTCCTGGGAGCCAACGGCAGGGGGCTGTTTTTCAGTGGTTACACATTCACACAATTACCCACATTTTAACATGCCTAGTTCATACAGCACCTTTCACTGCAAAGCAGTTTGGGCAATCTACACACAGCATAGCAATTCCTTCTGCCACCACCAAACTGCAGCCACCTCTGAGGTGGAACACAGCCCTGGGTTAGCTGCACAGAGCAGTGGGTTTGGGCAGGTAGTGACCAGCCAGTGACGTGAATACCCAATTGAGTCTGCAGGGAGGTAGAATGGGATTCAGAGCGTGGGAATTTGGCACTGAGATGAACAGTGCAATGCCGCAAATAGAGCCCCAAGACCTTTCAGTGAGCACAGATGGTCAGATTGAGTTTACCCCTCATCTAAAAGACCAACTGCAGAGACCAGGTCGGTCTGCGTACCGCAGGGAAGAAACTCCTTAGTGAAGCACTGACATCCCTGTCTCGAGCAGGCACGTCAAACTCGAAGCCTACTGAGGGCCGCACAAACGAAAACGGATAGCTTTCAGGGCCCCCAAAGAAAATGTACTTCTATCGGAAAGTTGTAATTATTTATTATTATAGATTGTGTTTTAGGTATATTTGATCATTTCTCAGACCTTGCTTTAATAGAATACAATAATTTGACGTGTAAAATTATTATTTGCCCATATAAAATATTTTTTAATTTAAATATAAATTTAAGATACTTTTAAATTTTGTATATGATACGCAACTTAATTTGTTGCAATAAAAACAGGCATAGACTGGGATTAATCAAATAGAACAAGCTTCTGTGAAAATTTCAGATACTTTGTAAGTTTGAGATTTTGCATAAACATATAATTATTCACACAGTTGCATAAAATTGACATTTATTAATATAAAATATACAATTTGTGCTTTTATCTGGGAATAAATAAACCCTCCCAAAAAGTTAACAAAATATTCCCCTCCTCTCCCACAGAGCCAGAAACACAAATAGAACAAGCTTCTGTGAAAATTTCAGATACTTTGTAAGTTTGAGATTTTGCATAAACATATAATTATTCACACAGTTGCATAAAATTGACATTTATTAATATAAAATATACAATTTGTGCTTTTATCTGGGAATAAATAAACCCTCCCAAAAAGTTAACAAAATATTCCCCTCCTCTCCCACAGAGCCAGAAACACCCAT